TACATATAAAAGGAAAACTCTCAAGATTTACTACCTCTTGAGATATATGATCATTAAAGCAATCAAGTTTTAATGTGACTTGCTTGTGATGAGAAGCTAAGCATGCTTTCATGATATGTAATGCATACGTTTCAGGCATAAAGAGAAAGTGAATCACTTGAAAAAGGGAATTTTTTGTTATTGTTTATTACTCCAACTCCAAATACTCAAGCATTTAAGCCAAATGTTTGAAAAAAATTTATCCAAGTTTCAACTTCCTGTCCACCTGGTGAGAGAAAGAAAAGGGAGCTGCCTTAACAAGTCCTGGTGATCTTCAGAATCGTGCACGTGAGAGAGAAATGCTTTTAAAAGTGGCATGGATGCCAAACTTGTCACTGAAGAAAGGAGGTTCTGTTGATGGCATTTTTCAGCAAGTATCATATGGAATGATCACTTTAGATCCCTGTTCGTGAATCTGTTTAATTCCCAGTATAAAGAAAGCACTAACTTGTAAACTTTCTTAGAAAAGTAGGCATGTTACTGCAGGATATTTACAATATAATTGTGTCTTCATAACTGCTAAATTGTGTATAACTGTCACTCTTTGATCTGGAAGTTCTTCTATGAACTGTCCCTACTGTAGTCATCTCTCAGTAGTTCCCATCTCAGCTGACCTCACCACTATTACCTGTGCTGTGCTGTCCCTCCACCATGCGTCTACTTCTACTTTATCCTCATGACTCTGACACACACACACACACACACACACACACACACACACACACACACACACCCCAACCAACCAACCAACAAACAAAAAAACCTCCAGCCATTATTCAAGGGTCAGTTCCAGCACACTTATCACTCTCTGATATTCTCTTTTATATGTCCTTGTTTTTGTATTTATTTCTGCTTTCTCCACTAAAATGTAAGCTCCATTAGGTGTAAAAATCTTGTCTTTTTCATTGTTCTGTTTCCAGCCCTGAAACAGTACCTGGCTCACAGTAGGAACTCAATTAAAAAAAAAATTAACTCCATTTATTTTCTTGGTAGCCACACCTCTCACTCTGTAGTATAGATTCTCTAAATGAAGAGCATTTGTTTTAAGAATTACATTATGTTATTTCCAAGCCAGCTTCCCTAGAAGTACACCCATTGGTTTAATTCTATATGAAATGATTCTCAGTATAACCTCAAACCCCGGGTTATTGGATAAATCTTTAAATATATAAACACAATTTTTCATAACCTTGAAATCCCTATGTTCTTATCTTTTTTCCTCCCAAAGAAAAAGATCAATTGTGTTTATTTTTATTATTTTTATCTATAATGTCAGAAATATTACTAGTATTTTTTTCCATCCTTTTAAGTAAGTACTGATTTCTCTGTTTCCTTTTATTCTCCCCTTCTCTCCCCTGTCACCATAAGAATGTCCAAACCTGTATAGTATTTTTATAAGAGTTTGTTTGTGCCAAATTCATGACATGCTGGGAACAAAGATCTCAAATGCTCTGGAGAATGGAAGTTCTGCAGTTTTTTTATACCTTTGGAATTGAGGAGGGATCTCAAGGATTACATGAAGGTGGGAGAAAGAAAGGTGGACACAAGATTATGTGCTCCCTTGAGGATGGTTATACCTCTGAGGGCTCTTAAAAAGAGGATTACTCTGCATTTCAAAGATGTGTTAACCTAGATGTTCAGGAAAGAAGGCAGGACTTACTTAAGGCAAATATAAACCCTTACTGAGAAGTTATATGCCTGGAGCATGACTATTCATCATGATGTGCCCAGTTAGGGATTTACGTTCAGATCATCCTGTGAGTTTACTTTTGGTCACTGGACTTGTCAGATTTATTACAGAGACTCTTTTTCATTCTCCCCTCTTTCCTGTTCCTCCTCGATGTGTGGAAATTACATGACTGTTGATTCTGCAGCATATTTTATATTTGCAATATTAGTGTCAACTCATTGTAATCGTTGGTTGATAATCATTAATGGTAGAATTAATAATAATAATGATAGGGGAAAAGGGAGAAAGAACATGTTTACTATTTGTTAATATTTATGGTGAATATTTTATATAGTTTTAAATTTTATCCTCAAAATAACCCTAAAAAGAAGTGGCCCTATTTTACAGTGAAATAACCTGAGACACAGAGATAAGTAACTGATCAAGTTATATGATTGAGATCACTAATGAATAAACATCAGAACTGAAACCAAAGGTTGTTTCCCTCCCAAACACTTTGAGCCATTTGGCAAAATTACCTTTATACTACAATGTTGGAAATTCTTCTTGCCTTTCTTAACTATAGTTCTCTGGAATTTTTGGCACTCTGAGTGATATTGCAGTAAGAGTGAGAAAACTCCACAATGAAACCCCTCTTTTATTTTCTCACCAAGTGAATGCCTGCTTCATCTATGGCTATAAAGTTGATAAGATGCTTATTAAGGCACAATACCTGCATGTTATGTTGCCCTTTATCTGTTGCTTTTCTGAGAAACACTAAGAATTGTATGAATCCCATCTCATGAAGTTTCTATAGTGTCTGTGAGGCACAGAAAAAGTAAGTTTAAACATACCATTCATTATAAGATCAAAGTATCAAAAATTGTTCGAGCCACATAACATTTTCTTTAATGTTAAAATTTAATATGTTTTCATTGTTCAGATGATCAAAGTCTTGTCTCAAATAGTCAGCTGTGCTTGCATTAATGAAAGAACATACTACACTAAAAATTCGTTAGTATTTTTCTCATGACAATGACCTCAAGTGATGTTCCACACACACAAAAACGAATTTTAAGGTCAAATAGATTTGAGAAATGATTGTATCCTATCTCCTTTTAAGAGATTTATAATACATTTGTGCATTATGAAGAAGTGGATTTCAAATTTCATTGTGTATTGGAATTGCTGGAGTGATGCTTAAAAATGCAAGCCTATATTTATAGGACTAAATGATCTCCCAGAAGTATTCTTTTAACAATCACCTTATGTGATTATGTAGACAGTTCATTCAAGACCAAAACTCTAAGAAATTGTGTTTAAAAGTGCTGAGAAGAATATTTTAAATACAACTATTTAATGTTTAAATAAACTTTTCCCCAAACTTTAAAGAGCTTGGAACTCCATTATTCTAAATATATTCTGGAAATCCTACACTGTGCAGGTTACTTTTTGCACTTAACATGTTTTTTGAGCTTGATTTCATATACCAACTTTAGTTAACTTTTAAACAGCTGAGTGCAAGTATAATAAAAACAAAGGCCAGTTATAGTATTACAATAAACATGGAATAATTATAATTTTTTCAGGGTAATTTTAGATTCTAGGTCTCACTCAAACCCATGCAATATAAAAATAAACAAACTTATTTCTTAGGCAGCATAGAAGATACCGCTGCACATCTACCTAAAATTCTTGGGAGTAAGGTAAATAAATATAAATTCTTATTTATATTGTTATAGCTACAATCTTACTTTTCCACTATTCTGTAGGCTTATTTAGAAGATGGGCCTGTGTGTAACCATTTTGGAGCCTGAATCAAACATACCTAAGTTTAATCATATAAAAAAATCAGATATTTATTAAAATTCTAAGAATTGTAATATTTTCACAGCCAAAATTTGTTTTACTCATTTATTACTTATTCAGAGGTTATATATTGGCCACTTGCTACCTGGTCGACATCTAGCTGAGCTCTAAGGCTGATAAATGTAGCCTTTGTCTTTAAGAAAACTCACAACATATTGAGGAGCCATATATATACATACACAAACAATGTTAAGTGCTAAGACATTTATATGCACTGTACCTTTAGAACAGAAAAGTGTTACAGAGTCTATTTAGTGGTAGAAATTATGTGGTACGGAGGGAATGAGTAGGTAGTTTTTAGGATGTCACAATAAAGTGAGATTTGTATGAAGGTGGAGTGTCATACACATTAGCATGTGTTCATTTAAGAACAATGTAGTGTAAGATTACAGAACGTATAAAATAACTTTGCTCTAAAATCTGAATTAGACTAGGTTAAATCTCCTATACAACCTCTTTTGTTATCATCTATTTGTTGAATTTATAGAATATTAGAGTTCAAAACCAGCTTCAGTACCCATCTGTTTGATCCCAAGGAAACAAATTGACACTCAAGGTCAGAGCTAACTGGTGGCCATGGACTATTAAACACCTCGGCTCGGTTTTACATATGGAAAAGATTTTGGAAAATACCCAAAAAAAAGCATATTCTTACACTAAACAATTTTTATGGTTTCTTTAAAAATATGTTTAAAATAAAGAGGAAAAAAAAAGGAAGGGAGCATGGGAGAATGAAAGGCAGTAAGGAAAGAAGGATGGAAGAGAGTCAGACAAAGAAGGAAGGAAGTTAAAAAAGGAGGAAGGGTGAGAAGGAGGGAGCAAGAGAGAAAGGGAGGGAGAGAAAATTCAATATTTTAACCTTGGTTAAAATGGAAATGAAGGCTAATTGGAATATACTGCTAGTAATTCATCTTCTTTAAAACTATTGAGGCTAATAAATAAGATGAGTTTTCCTGGTTAGTAAAATATGTGATTTTATTTCCAAAATGTAATATTTATACAGTATGGAAGATTTTTTTGCTAGACAGATTGTTGATCATATTGTTTACATTGCTTCCTGGTTTGCAATATTGATGTTCCTGCAGGCATACAGATCATATTTAAATTGTGGTGTTCAGACACATCGCAGATATAGTAGTTTTATAATTTTTTACTTTTAAAGCTTTTTACAAGGAAAGAAATTGCCATTGGAATTGAACTTTGTTGTAGTCAATGACTGCCATAAGAACCACTGAGATCCAAAAACCACTGTGAATGCTTACTTTCTCCTTGGGATCCCACTCATGTTGTTTTGATTTCCCTAGCTTGCCCTTTCAGCTTGTATCAAAGTGAAAGAAATGTCTCAGTGAGAAGAGTACAAGGGACTTTTTTCTATCCCCTTCCTTCATGTAATTTAATTTCATTGACCTTTTTTCAATTGCAGCTTTTACAGGTGGATGGGACCTGTTTAATGAAGCGTAAAGAAAACCCCCCAAGAAATGACACTGCAGAACCAGAGCCTACCCTGCAGGTATGTCTTGGTTGTTGGTTTTATGTCCTAGAACATTTCTTGAATACACTGTGTTCAATGATTTTCTCTCTTGCTCTAGTTGAAGCAGAGGTGTTTTATTGGCTAATACAAGATGTTTCCTAGTGCTTCTGACCACTTCCACGACCACTATGCCTGCCACTAAGCTTTTGGTTTGATTACTGGAAGTTTCCAGAAGAAAAAGGGTAGGGAAGTGCCCCTCCCCTTCCATGCAACCAGGAAACAAAACAAAAACAAAAATAAACAACAAACAAAAAACATGCATCTATTCGTTATGGGACTAAGAAGATAGAAAGAAGACATGGCAAAGCACCAGAAGTAGAAGGAAGTACATCTCCCTCACAAAAACAAACAACAAACACACAACTCAGGCGCTTAATTCTGAACTTTGGTCTATACTGTTCTGTATTTGACCAAAAATATTATAGCCTGGCAATTCTGAGATTAATGTCTCTTAACACAACATATTTCAAATTTGAGGTTAAATTAATCGGAATTGAATGATTTGGGTCAAGTTTTTTCAAAATTTGAAATATTTTATGTATTTCATGAAGTAGCAGCATTAACACATTTTAATTTATTTTATTTTTGTCTGACATTAGTATTCTGTAAGATATTTGATGAGATATGAATTTACATTAGTATTCTATTACAATTTTAATTTTTCCCTTTTTTTTATTTTTTTTTGACTCTCCTAATTCTCTTTTTGTATTATTTGACAGAAATTACAAATGCCTCATTGTACTGAATGTGAAGTGGAAAAAACCCAGGAAAAACAAATGACCCGCTTTGAAGGGAGGGCGACTAGAGAAGAAAAAATACTGTAAAAGCCAAGAAACTGTGTTTAAAAAAAACATTCATTTGCTATTGTCTTCATACCCTTTTTAGACCACAGGCTTGATGGAAATACTAAGTTTTTAAAGCATGCAACTTTTTTCACAATTTATAGTCTGCAAATTTTCCAAAAGATCCCAGTCTGATTATGATCCTCAAGCAATAACCTAATTAAAAAGGATATCCACAGTCATAAATAGTCATTGTCATCAGTAAATTGCCCAGTATAAATTGGTCTGTTTTGAATTCATATAAAATATAACATTTAATTGTTATGGTTCATTTTGGTATCTAGGACTTCTGTGATCAATATAGTTTGTGAAATCAGCTGGAGGATGAGAATATGTTTTGGATCTTCAGCATTCTTAGAATCCAAATTGCAATTAAATTATAAAGATTCTGGCCCACACCAGCAATTGGAGTTACTTTCCTCAAGGTTGGAATCTGTGCTGATATATATACAAAAAAGTATATACATTTTAAGAAAGGAAAAAGCTGTATTAAAATTGTAATACTCAATATATGCCAATAACAAAAAATGAATACAAGTCACGTTTGACTGCAGCAATTACAAGAGGTGTTCAAAGTAAATACCATCAGCGTCTAGGCACTTCTGATTACTGCGAACTACTGTTTGAGCAATGTTGACCATAGTGTCCACTTGTATACATATTTTGGTACTATATATATATATATATATATATATATACACACACACACACACACACACATACACACATAGCTATTATTATTATTTTAAACCATGTCTAAACAAGGTCAAGGCATTTCTGTCAGGGATTCAGTCAGTTAACAGAATTCATTAAAATGTTTGGTATGATGTAAACAAAATATCTGGATGAATGAGTAAATTTCTAACACAGTTGATTCGTTTTTTGGGCATTCTACAGACACATCCTTATGGTTGTCTGCTGGAATTACTCCAAGTTTGGAATCAAGTTGTTTGAAATGCTCGGCATGATTTTGGTAGGAAATTGGGGAGTGGAATGTGGGATGGAAAGTGGGATCCCAAATACATTTATACAAGCAAATAATATATATTTAAAAATGGGGATTTGATGCCAGTAAAGCAGCCATGTAGAACTCATAAACCCAGAATTGTGTATTTTGAAAACAAATGTATTATTATTATTGTTTTAAGTTGCAGAAAAGGAGTTTATTAGAAGTAAAAATACATTCAAAGAAGCAGAAGCTGGAGAAAAAGTAGAGAATGGCTCAAGGTCCATTATTAGAAAAGAAAGTGCACTCCAAAGAGTTTGGAGCAGGCCGAGCAAAGGAAGCTCAAAAGGCTAAAGGGGGCCCAGGGTCAGGGCCAGGGAGTCATTATTAGGAGAGAAAATACACTCCAAAGAGCCGAGCAGAGGCAAGGCTCAAAATGTTCAAAAGGCCAAAACAAATGTATTATTAAAACAAATCAATGGCTGCTATAATCTTTGAGTTGGAACTCTACTTAGGAATATCACTGACCAAATAAATTCACTCCTGAATAATCTGAATGTAGCCCACAAGCAAGGGGAACTGACATTTGAATACCGTATTTGCCGGCATATAAGACGATTTTTTGGCCCTGAAAAATATGCCTCCAAGTGGGGGGTCGTCTTATACGCCAGGTACACTTCAGATAGACTGCCCATAGTGCTTGCCCCGTGCCATAGTGGCCTCCCGATGCCCGCCCACTTCATTCCACATACCGTTCAGGCATCAGCAGCGCTGCTGGGTGTATGCTCGGCTGTTATGCGATTTTACCACACTCGCAAAATCTACGGTACCAGTCTATAGAGTGTGTTTTATTTAGTGAATTACCGGTATGTTTACCGGTAATAAACTTGCACTGTTTTATGTATATGTTTGATTACATACAGCCTTGTGACAGTTTTCCTGCATGTCATAAGCATTTGAATATAAATTAAAATGTTGAAATCAAATCTGATATTGTTTTACCTTTTATTTGGTGTGTGGAAGGTGTGCGGAAGAGGGGGTAGTCTTATACGGTGAGTATATAACAAACTCTGTATTTTGAGTGGAAATGTTAGGGGGTCGTCTTATACGCCCAGTCGTCTTATACGCCGGCAAATACGGTAGTTATCTGATTGATAAGGTCAATATAGCATCAAACTTACAGACTCAAATGTTGGGTTAAATGATCAAGTTAGTTTGGGTAAAATGACCAAATATATATAAGACCCATTTTGCAGAAAGCATGCAAAACCATCAGTTTTATATAATGGACCTGCCAAGTCACAATTAATATATTTGGAGCACTGTACCCTGGCAGGCTGTATTATAAAATAGTTATATACATATAATGAAATCTGTCAATAGATGAAATTAAATTCTGGGTTATAATGGCACACCTTTGATTACAATGACATAGTCTAAGAAATTTAGTGATTTGGAAAAAGGGCAAACTGTCATTAACAGTAAAAGTAATATCATGATATATTCATGTAGCCGTTGTGCTTGCAGAATAATTCAGTGTCATTTATCAATATTTTGCATATTACAGACTACCTAAGAAAAAAAGAAAATTAATTTTATAGATGATCCATAGAGTTTTCAGATGAAGTGACCAGGATCAAAGAAATGGTTAAGATCCAAAATTTCTGCTGATTCCTTCTCAACTCTAAAAGTTTAATTCTATGAAAAGGAATATTGCTAGTTTCCTAAGTCCTGTTTCTTGTAATTTCTCCACTGTACCCATAAACCCTAACCATCTCCAAAGGTTTATGAAAGGGAAACAGATAATTTAATTTTAATTTAGGTTTGCTTTTCTATTCCCACCCTATACCCCAACTTCATTCCTAGACTCTATGGATCCTATAGAAAGTTAATCACTGTTTCACTGTAGCACAGTATGTTTTGAGGCATCTTTGGGACTAATAAAAAGAGAGTCAGGCTGATAGTTTCTGAAATTTTTATAGCATATCCTGACGAAAGATGAGAATTAGGCTTCATATTAATCAAATTTGAACGGCTTCATTTGTAAATTATGTTTTCTCTGCTCTAAATTCTTGTTCAAGTATGTGATTATATAATCAAATTGCTTCTCTTAATTACTGTCATTATCAAGTGGGCTTTAAATGAGTATAATGTATATACTTTTTCTGTAATGATAGATAGCATAATGTGTCCTCAGAGTTCACTGTGGTATATTCGTTGCAGTATTTGTTTCAAAACAAAAGGAATTTGTAGCAGAAGAGCTTTATACATATTTTTAAAGACATATTCTGGGAGTTCCTTTTAATAGTTAAGTGCGGAATTCTTTTTTTTAGAATTTTCTATGACTTTAATGAATGCCTTTTATTTCTCTCCATTGTCTAATTGCTTTAAAATAACATCAGAGAGGTTTAAAATGCTTTACTTACACATGTGGGTGTTGTCTATAAGAGAGGTGCCATTTCTTATTATGTTTTTAATTAACAGCTCAATAAATAGACAGTTGTTTTTGAGGAGTTAACATTCATAGCCTAACTATCCTCATATGGAAGAAAACATTAACCTGGATGATGATAGATAGTAAAATTCTGTCCTGTACCTGTAATGGTAAGCAGCGAAAGATTACTTATGCTTTGCAAAATAAGAATTGATTTCTATTGAGAAACAAATATATTTTCCATAGGAATAACTTATTTCAATATAGGTATTACTGGAGCTAGTAACAACTATTTACCCCTCTCTAGTTTTTTTTGTTTGTTTGTTTGTTTTTTAATACTAATCAATGCTATGTATTCATGCTAAGTCAGATGTTTATTTGGAACTTTGTGTTTCCTTTTATATGTATTAACTATGTAAATTGAATGAGTGCCTAAAGTGTCAAGACCTAAATGAATGCCGACTGTGTCTATTATCCAATGCCAACATTCTCGAATGAAAAGTGAAAAATTCAGTAACTCATTTGGATGTGGTTTTATATGAGAGCCCAAATCTCTGAATACTAGATATATTAGATGGATAATTTTGTTTTTCATTCTTTAACTATGTATTTAGCATTGCAATGCTATTTCAGGCACCATTCTGTTTCTTAAACTATACTGGATTACAAGTCTAAGACAGTTATATGTAAAGGAGACATTTACTGTTTTAGATTTACAATGTGGATAGCTGGATTAAAACAATATCTGTGAACTTTGTGATAATGGAATCTTTTATTTTCATAGCTTAAGTACAATACAAGCATTAATTGCAGCAGAGGCTGAAATAATTCTTGGCACGGTAGAGTAGGGTCAGCTGACCAGACAGAGAGAGTAATGAAAATATATACTTGTTTACTTGGGGGACATTTTCTTAGTGATGTGTACAGTCTTAAACTTCCCCAAAGTATTTGTTCATCTGGATTATGTAACATAATATTGATGGCCAAGTGATAAAGAATAAAAGGTACTAAAAGACGGCCATTTTTGCTCAATAAAGAGTTGTTACCAAAATTACAATGTATATTATCCTACATAACCTAATTGAGAAAGCAAATATTAATATTAAAAATAGTACTTGCTTCTGTGTATCAAGGTCTAAGAACTTTTTTGAAATGTCACCCTGGAAGTTTCTTCAATCTCTTTTTGCCAATGTTCCAGAAATATTTTATTTAAAGCATTTTTTAATAGAATTCTGTGATGGCAAAGATTTTTGTCTTTTTGTGTGCAAATGAGTCTGAAGTACTGAGAACAAGCTGCCTCACAGAAGGTGCTCAAATGTTTGCAAAATGAATTAATTCAGAATCAGAAGTGGCAAGGGCAGAAGTAAGGAGCAACAAGGGATCGCGTTCTACTTGATAAGAGGGAATCAACTCTTTTAGGAAGAAATAAATAAATATTATTCTTTAGGTTTCATTTTATTGCTGTTCATTTGTTTTCTTTTTAGGCTTTTTTCCCTTTGCTTTTTTCTTGGAAAGGTTTATCTATGGGCTGTAGCCGTGATTTCAAGGAGAGTAGATAGGACACTCTGGGTGAGTTTTGGAATGCAACTCAGTGCAATAGACATAATTCACATGGCATGTAAGTGCTTTTAATTGGAATCCAGCTTTGACGTTCACCTGGACTTGCACAGGTCACTTCATTTCTTTTGGTATTAGTTTCCACCTTCATGGACCTTAAATAGTTGGATTGAAATCAGAGATTTTCCTCTCTGTTCTGCTGAGCCCTAATCCTTTAGCAGACATAACTCAAATGAACATGTAGAGTTTGGGGATCTGGACTCTACAAACCCTCACCTTCAACTAGAGTAACTGTTCTTTGATATAATTGACTGGTTGAGCTTATACATTCTGCACATACGTTTAACGGAGAAAGGGAGTCAGTCCAAAGTCCAGTTTCAAAGTGATTTGAATATCACTGAATAAAATAATCTCCGTGATCACTTCTCCCCATTTGTTTGTTGAGTCAGCCAGTCATTCAGCCATTCGATATTCTTTGAGAATGTAAAATGTGCTTGCCATTCTACTTTTTGTTGAGGATCCAATGATAAGCAAAAGTATTAAAATCTGAATACTAATATTGCACTTGAAATG